GATGTGACCCTCTCCATCACTGTTGTTGTGGGGGATTGGTAACAGTGGCAGCTGGGTTAGTCTATTTAGGCAGTGGGCGTGACTGACTGAGGTGTAGGCATTGCATGAACCAGATCCAGGAGTAATGTATGATAAGGGATGGGGTGTTTCTGGTGAAGTGCTGGCTCTCAAGGAGGTTCCACTGGCCCAGTAGCAGTGGTGGAGATTTGGGAATATTGTCTTGGGGCCTAGGTTCAACTCTGGAATCTCAGGGCTGGTGGTCACCTGGAGTTATAGGGAAGAGCCTCAGGCTTGGGCATAGTGAAGGTTCAGAGCTAGATCTGGGCATTACAGAGGCAGAGCCACACCGATGGATGGTTGCTCTGCCAGTGTGGAGACTGCCGGTCCCCAGTTGTGCAGGCAAGACTTTGTCTCAGCGGCCCAGGAACTGTGGACATGGGCCACAGGTGCTGGTTGGTGAAGGTTCTGCCCGATCCCACCTAGGTTCCACTGAGGCACTCACCCACGGCTTCCCAGGTGATGCCCGTGACATCCGAGGCTCCTCCTCTGTTTAGATCCCAAACAGGGAGAGAGGAATGCTAGGCCCCCAGTCCTGGAGCAGCACAAGGAAGTACTTGTTCTGTCTGCTTCCTCCCTAGGTTGGGGGGATGATGTAAAGGCTACTGCTGGAAAGTTGAGTCCTGAGCAGAGCTGACACCATGCACCAGGGCTATCACGATGGTGTCAGCTACAGAAACCAGGGATTTAGCACCCCCAGATCTTTGCTGTGCCTACTGTCCGGTGAAATGTCTCTGCACAGACTTTGAACAGCTTCCCATCAGCCCAGAGGTCTGCCGTGGTGAAGGGAGACCCCTCACAGCACAAGCCACGTGCAACTTTTATTCCTCTCCTGCAAAGTGGTGCCGCTTGAGCTACTTCTATTCTGCTGTCTTTCCCTCTCCCCAGCTGTGTGAATTGTACTGGAACCTCCACCTATACACATAGACTGCCACATTAGGAAAAGAAATTTCCTTAGGGCTACAGTGTTTTATTAGGAAAACAGAATAAAAGCTTTGAACACAAAATGATCTTTCCTAATTTAATTAAAAAATTGTTATTTTTTATGGTTTTCTGTGTGTGAGTTGTATGCAACTTGAAAAACATTTCACACGGCTCCCAAGGTAAAGAGATGTGTGAGTTCCATATGCTTCCAGAGGCCCTGGGCTCAAAAGTAGCCTGAGTTACATACAACTCACACGGCAGTTAATGTGTTAATCTCTGAGATGGTGGGTCATGCTTATGAGTAAGAATTAGGACACCCTGTTCGATTGAGTCATTAGATGTTGTAATGAACTGCACCGTTGTTCTTGCTGTCAGAAGTTGGTGCCTGCAGGAAAGAGCCAACAGCAGAGTTGCTTTTCAGGGCCTGTAATCAGCTTTATCCCCTCAGAAGAAACAGCGAAATGCCCTAGGCAGTGGGCAGGGCCCTGAAGCTCCCAGGGGATTGCTTGTTCTCCACTGCAGCAGGGGCAGGTAGAGGGGCGACCTTGAGCATGGCTAGGTCAGGCAAGCCTGCCTCCAGGCTCCACAGACATAAGTCGTAGAACTGTCCCAGCAAGGATAAAAGGTCAGCAAGGATAAAAGGTCAGCTCCCAGCTTGCTGGGGAAGGCCTCCAGAAAGGAGAATGGAGTGGCCCCACCAAACCGCAAAGTCTGCTACTGAGGAAGATGCCATATGCAACTATGGGGTGTGACTTTTGCCCCCCTCACTCTTACCAGGCCCTGAGAGATTCCTTCAGTGTCTGGGTGTAAATGGGGGCCCAAATTGCTGTGCTTGCCAGAAATGGCACTTCGGGCCTGGAACAACCTCACCCGTGGACCCGCCCAAGTCCAAAGGTGTGGTTTTCCTGTGATGGGTTGAGGGTGATGGATGCGCCACGAATTTGCTGTGGCTCTGAACCACAGTGCACTCTCCTGTCTTTTCCACCCGTGTGGGCCTGCCCACCTCTTGAATTTAGCTCTCAATTCTCCCCTCTGTGCCCCTAAGCAACCCCTGTGATTCCTGGAAAAATGGAATCCAGCACATGCCTGCCTCACTGGTGGTGTCTCTGGGGAGTTTGGTGGGCAGGGAACTCCCAGACCTAGCACCCCTAGGTCCACTGCAGGTCCTCAAGAGGAAAGATGTCGGCCCCTCTCTCTGTGGAAACCCCGGATTGGAGGGTACACCAACCGAGTGCAGGGGGCCACTTTTGAAAGTCTCCTTCAGTGGCCCCTCTCAGCTGCAGTGAGCAGGGGAGGAGTGGGGAGGAAAGAGTTTGAGTGAAAGAGAAAGCGCATTCCAGTTCTCCCAGTCTCTCTCCCTGGAAGAGACTCACGAAAGGTCCAAGCTCTGAGATCACACAAGTTCTCCGAGGTCCACCACAATAGGGGCAGAGTTGGCAACTGTCTGTGTGGGAACAGGTGATGTGAAAACTGTAGGGTGGAGCTCCCTGGGGGGGAGGGAGGGGTGGTATGAGTGGGAAGCAGTATAGCAGCTACTCTTGGTTCAAGCTGTGGCCACGGGGGCGACCCCCAAAGCAACCGGAAGCTGGACGCTTTATTTTCAAGAGGGTCCCAGTTCAATGGTTGCAGCCACATTTGAGAGCATGTGGGTGGAAAAGGTCTCAAGCAGCTCGGCAGCCTGCCGACCACTGTAGGTGTGTGAGAAACGGAAAGGAACCCCATGTCCGCATTCACCGCGCTCTGAGATTCTCGGGGGTAGATTTCTGCCGATGTCTTTTTTCTCCATCTATTTCGCTATATCTTTCCATGAAGTCCCCGGCAGTCTCCAGTGCCTTCCTCCCCCAGACTTCACCTGGGCTCTTCCCGTTCCCCCTTTCCAGTACCTAAATCCCAACATTCCCTCTGGGACGATGTGGCAACCACTCAACTGCCTGACTCCCCTGTGTGTTTTTCTAACATATGAATTTTTTCTTAAATTTTCTGTCAGCTTTATCAAAATAATTCATGTTGAATAAGGAGAACACATAGGGTCTGATCACAAAGGAAGAAAATGATGATCCTTACCTCATCCCTTCTCGCCCTTCTCTTAATCCTGCACTGTGGTTCTTTCCCTATCCCCGGATGAAACCTCTGACAAGCCACATAACATATACTGTCCTTCTCCAGAATAAAAAACCTCCCATTTCTGCGCTCGGAAGAATAGCCTCATTTTAGTAATGAATATATTTCAGCCAAGTACAAAAATTGAACCTCAGATCTTCATTCAGAGTTGAAGCTTCTCTGTTTCTCTAGTTCAAGCTGAACTTGGAAGCCTTCGGGTTGATAAGAAGATATTCTTGACTGCTTCTCTATCTAATCAGGCTGTGTTTCCTCTCAACTCCTCTAGCCTGTGAGCCAGGTTTCTGAATTCTACATACTCAGCATGGGGAAAAGAAGAGCTAACGGGAAGGAGAGGTCTGAACATTGGTAAATGTCGGAAGCTGGACATCGTACCTGTCAAAGCAGACTCTTTTCCTTGGGTGCTTTTATGTAAATCCTCTGGAGGCCTCACTGGAACCCTTTGGCATCTCACTGAAGTTGTTGTGTTGTGAGATGTGCATTTTCTCTGGCTTCTGCATAAATTTTCTCTCCACACTCTGCGAATTAGGTTGTGTATTGCCCTAATATTGGTCACTTTTCACTCCTCAACGCTGTTTTCCCCTTCTCTCTTAATCTTTTTTATAATCTGTCCCTAAACAAGAATCAGATTAAGAAAATGACTCCTGGCCGGGTGCGGTGGCTCACGCCTGTAATCTTAGCACTCTGGGAGGCCAAGGCGGGCGGATCGTTTGAGCTCAGAAGTTTGAGACCAGCCTGAGCAAGAGTGAGATCCCATCTCTACTAAAAATAGAAAGAAATTGGCCAAACAACTAAACATAGAAAAAATTAGCTGGGTGTGGTGGCGCATGCATGTAGTCCCAGCTACCTGGGAGGCTGAGGCAGGAGGATCGCCTGAGCTCAGAAGTTTGAGGTTGCTGTGAGCTGGGCTGACATCACGGTACTCTAGCCTGGGCAACAGAGTGAGACTCTGTCTCAAAAAAAAAAAAAAATGACTCCTATTCTGGATATTTCATATAAATAAAACTCTAAAATATGAAAAAAAAAGAAAGAAAATGACTCCAGACCACCTGTCTCTTCCAGAACCGATGTGAATCTATGAGCATATCCATGCATCCTTGCATATATTTCTGAAAGTTTACTCAGCTGCCAGGCTCTTTATTTCAATTCTGATGCCTGAGGCAAATAACCCATTGCTGCTTGCTCTTACAGTGCTTAGAAATGTCAGGCCACAACTACACTCAAATCCAGAAAACTCAAGGCAAATTCTTTCATATAATGTCTTGCGGCCCCAATCACTAGGATTAAGGTGAAGAAGATGGTCTCAAAATAGGAGCAGAGAAGAGAGACTCACACAATGCTGAGCTGCTGCAAACAATTTCCCTAATTTCCACCATCTAATCCTATGTTCCATCCTTTATACCCTTCAGCGCAGTGACGAACTCAGATTTCATAGTACTTTTTCTATATGGGTGGGTGTATAAACTTTCACTGGATATGTGTGTATTTGTAACCTCTTTCTTGGAGCCTCAGTGAAAATGATGACAATGGAGAGCCCATTTTAACATCATGTTTCACAATAATTTCATGTTAATTTATTTTTTCTTTTTTAAAGGCTGGTCAAGTGGAGTAGTGGGAGTGGAGAAGGAACAAAGGAATCTGTAACTGGTTGTGATCAATTAGTTGTAAACACCACTGCACTCGGACCAACCTCATGTTAATTTAAATGATTCCCTTAAAAAGAAATATTCTCTGAAACAGAATGAACCTATTTCTTCAGCACTGAGCAAAGGCCACCTGGGCCAATATTATCATCAATTGATAATAATTCTGAACATAGCACTTACCGTCAAAATCTTAGGAAATGGTTCTTAGGCTCTAAATCTTATTAAATATGTCTTTACTCCTTTTATTCACTTCAGATTGGCAATGAATGTACCCTCTTATGGCCTGATACTCAACTTGCAGTACTTGGGGAAGAATATCTACCTGTTCCAGGTTCTCTTTGGAGCTGTCACAGCCACAGGCAGATTTGTTGCCCTTTTGGCAATGAATTATATGGGTCGTCGAATAAGCCAACTGTTGTTCCTGTTCCTGGTAGGACTGTTCCTTCTGGTCAACACCTTTTTGGATCAAGGTGAGAAAGACAGGAGTTTGGGGAAGGAGTGTGGTTTCCCCCATTCCTCAGGAATTACATTGGTCTTACTTGCCCGATACGAAAAGAATGGCAATGCCACTGAAAGCCAAAAGGTTCCCTGAGGTTAATATGATGGTATGGAACTGATTCTGACAAGTTGTGGCAGGATATGGGCTCTTCCTGAACCAAGGTCACCAAAGGGTGGTTTAGACACAGGATTTTCTCCATTGCATCCAAAATGAATCTGGACGTCAGCCCCAATTACGCCTAACAATTTCTTTGCAAGAATAACTAACCACATACCTTTTGGCTAGTTACGGTTTAACAACAACCATGGAGGGGCAGAGTGGGAGCATGGTGATCTCACCTCTTCTGTCTTGGAGATTTTCCAACTTTTAAGACCTCTCTAAATTGTCCACCCCCTCATCCCTGTATTATCATTTTTGAGTTTGGTATTAAATCACCATAAATGCAACACTTTTTTAGGAGAGGCTTCTTGACTACCATGAAATAAAAATCCTTGTCCTGAAGCAGAAAAGAAGTGTACAGTAGAAACAAGAGAAAAGTCTCATCTTAATATGTCTCTTAATCTGTTTTATAATCTGTCCCTAAACAAGGAGCAGATTAAGAAACTGACTCAGCATCTCCTAGAATCCTTTTGGCAAATTAATAGAATGACCTTATGCAGTGATAATGGGAACTTCAGTGGCCTCCATGCTCCACGGATCTCCTAGAGCTGGAATGTATTTGGCAGGATCGCAGACTGATGGTTTCCATTCCTCCTTCTTATGCAATGTTGCTGCCTCATAGGAGAGGCCTCTCCATATTTCGGTCCTGTGTTGATTACTGTTATTGAATTTCTAAAGTGTCTCTTTGAATTTTCAGTCTCAGTGTTTCCCAATATGACATTATTTGATTCCATCTAGGAGAACAAATGTTAGGTTTATAATCCTGAATCATTATTCTAGAACTTCTGTCTCTTCACCCTGTCCACTGCCAAATCAACCCAGTCTTTCTGTTACTATATGGTGCAATACCTGTCCCATATCATAGTTTGTTCCCACACTCTTAGTTGGAATCTACTCAAGATGTGCCTCATAAACTTTCCAGTTTTTATCCATATTTAGTTCCATGCCTTACAGCAAGTGCAGAGAAAGTATTACACAGAATGAATAAAGCAAGTATTTCCTGACTCCCTACTTGCAACTTTACTGGCAATACTCGAAGATGTAGGGAGAGTTGAAGCCACTGATATAGATCCTATTATTCAACGTTTAAGCCCTAAAATTCTACAGTCTACAGTGCTTAGTTTGTACACCATTCCCTAATCTGTGGTATGCTGCAGTTTTTCTTCCACATATTTCACACTCGCAAAGCCCTGCAACACAATCTTTTTACAAGGATTTAGGAGGTGACAGATTTCTTCAGCCAAAATCTCCTGACTCTCATTGTCTTCCTCTCTCTAGAAATGCAGACGCTGCGTGTGGTTTTAGCAACTCTGGGAGCTGGTGTTCTTTCCGTTGCTAGTACCAGCCATTCCATCCACTACTCGGAGCTCATTCCCACCATATTCAGGTACCAGAGCTAAAGACCATCTGGTTTCAAATCAGGACTTTCTGGCCGGGCGCGGTGGCTCACGCCTGTAATCCTAGCACTCTGGGAGGCCGAGGCGGGCGGATTGTTTGAGCTCAGGAGTTCGAAACCAGCCTGAGCAAGAGCGAGAGCCCGTCTCTACTAAAAATACAAAGAAATTAATCGGACAACTAAAAATATATATAAAAAAAAAAATTAGCCGGGCATGGTGGCACATGCCTGTACTCGGGAGGCTGAGGCAGAAGGATCGCTTGAGCCCAGGAATTTGAGGTTGCTGTGAGCTAGGCTGACACCACGGCACTCTAGCCTGGGCAAAAGAGTGAGACTCTGTCTCAAAAAAAAAAAAAACAAAACAGGACTTTCTGAGCTCATTAACATTTACTGTGGAGAAAAACCCTGAGAGTGTTTAGGTGTCAAACAAATGAATTATGACAGAAATTAAGACAGCAACTGACGGAAAGCCAAGAATTCTGAAAGCTAAGTTTATGCCTGGCAAAGTGCCAAGTCCTTTAAAGCATCATCTCACTTAATCTTAACAAGCACTCTACTGGATTGTGGCTATGGGTGTCTCTATTTCGATAATGATGAAAAGGGGGTTTAGAGCAGTTACCAACATACTACTAACAAACAGTTGAGACCAATAGAGTTAAACATCACAATTAAGAGCCTGTAGTTAAAGCCCATGTGTTTAATAAGTGCGTTGTGTTGTCCCCCATAATGACTAAAGATGACAAATAAAAACTTATATGTACAGATTTATACAAGATATTTTTGTATTTTATTTGTGCCCTGAGGTCAACAGCTGCAGGAATCAATCTGCTGTTCAGTAGGATTGGGGCAGCACTGGCTCCTCTGTTGATGACCTTCGCGGGGTTTTCTCCCCACCTGCCCTGGATTACCTATGGAATCTTCTCCATCCTTGCTGGCATTGTTGTCCTCCTCCTCCCGGAAACCAGCAATCTGCCTCTTCCTAACACCATCCAGGATGTGGAAAATGAGTGAGTAAACCCTCCACCTGGCACCTGAGTGGGGAGTGGCTGTGTGCTATAGCTCTGTGATGACAAAGGTCAACATCATTTGCAGCCCTCTGTCCTTCACATAGGCTCAGACCTGGCCTATTTCCATTTGTCCCCATGGCCTTTAATTCAGTGGCAGGGTTACCTCTACCCACATAGTGGCAGACTCCCCTCAAGGCTGCCCAGGTCACACAGACCACCTCACACCAGTGGCTTTAGTGGTGAAAAGGCCTAACTTAGCCCTATTGTGAATAGCACATACCTTCTGCTCTAATAGGAAATACGTACTCCTGTTCTTCTTGCATGAATCTGCTAGGATACAAATGGCTCATTCTCATCCTCTGATTTTATCACCCATCAGCCCAGTGGGTGCTGGATATATTGTGGGAAGGAAATGAGATTGCCACATAGATACATATGTGATTATTGCTTCAGTCAAGGAAGAATTGTGGGACTAGCGCACAAAGCAAGATCTTCTTTGCAAAGATAACAGTGTATTAAAGGGAGTGGATCTTGGGATACCTGCAAGATTTAGTCAAATTTGCTGCCAAAGGCAGTAAAAATTATGAGAAGAGAGTCATTAAGATAAGAAAAAACAATTAAAAATGAGGACAAATAAGGATATAGCCTCAAGAATTTCATTTCACCCTTTGATTTTCCAAAATGTCATTGGCGAAAGGTCTAAAGAGACAATGGTGAGAGCAGCAATGTTCAATGCTGCCGTCGCAGGTATGCCCAGGTATCAGAGCCTTTTCCAGCACAGTAGTATGGAAATCCAGGGAGTCTTGGGTAACAAAGCTGATGGGTAGAGGTTCAGCTTGTCCTTAGCCATGCAAGATATATATACTTATTCTATACCTTCTTTCTGTTTTGTTTCTTGATTTTGTTTTTGTTTAAATTTCTATTTGTCAGCAGAAAAGAAACAAGAAAAGTAAAGCAGGAAGATACTTGCATGAAATTAACACAATTTTAAGGAGTTCCTGAGACTTGATCCAAGGCAAAGAAAAATAAGAGAAAAAAAATCAAGATTATTCCTATATACCTACAAAACTAGCTGAAAGTATACTGGACAGATGGATGCTATTTACAACGATGGCACTAAATATATCAATTGTCCCAAAATAATTTATGAGTTTAAGTAATTCCACCAAATGATAGTTTGCTTTTGTAAAGAAGTTGCAGAACTTCCAAATTAATCTAGATATTATTACTAATATCTTTTACAAGCCAAAACAATTTAGGAAAAAGAGCAACATAGAGTGATGATGGGCCGACTCATATATGGTAAAGCTTATGCTGGACTCTATTATAAAGCTACATTCATGAAAACAGTAACAGCCAATGCAACCTCCAATCATAACAATTTCAGAAACACAGCCAAGTATGTATAAACACTTACACATCAAATTTTTGGCATCAATAATCACTTAAAGATTGAAAGATTATGTAATTAATAGTATTAATTACCTCTTTGGAAATAAAATCACAAAAATTGTGAGAATGGTTTCCTTTTAATGATAAAATTCTATTGTTTTTTTCTTTGCATTCTTTCTGGCTTCATATTTTAAACTAACATGAATCATTTAAAAATATTATAAACATCAAATATTAAAGTACAATTGACATGGCAAATGATTTCAAAATATATACATATGTGTGTATATATTTAATGTATATCACATAAAATTATACTTCAACACAAAATGGGCGTGGATCAAGAAGAAGTAATTTCCTGGGGCAAAAAGCTACATAACTAATAAATATATAAAGTAAATGAAAAGATGTTCATTTTAATGGTGATCAAAGATATATACATTAAAGTGGACTAATAATTTTCATTTTCCAAAGCAACAAAGATTTTGAAATGTACTATTTATTCTCAGAAAGACAGTGAGCCAGTGGCACAGATATTCATACAATACCAGGGAAAGTATAAAATAAAGCATGTCATAAAGCTGTTAAAAAATCAAAAGTTTAAATTTAATTTTTATGCATTCAGCAAACACTTCCTGAGCTTGTGCAACGTACTATACCAGTTTCTGTCATCTGCCAATAAAGCTTCCTTTCCAACCCACCTGCCTTTTTTTTACGTTGCCTTATTAAACTGGTGAGAAACGCCAGCACAATGTAGGATAGAAGTGATGAGAATAAAAATCCTTACCTTATTCCTGATCTTTGGTGGGGAAAGCATTCATTATTGCAGTATTAACTATGATGGAATCTGTAGGTGTTCTGTAGATTCCCTTTATCAAATTTTCTCAAGAACAGATGTAATTTACCAGATCTATGCGATGATACATTTTTTAATCTCTTAGTCTAAAAATTACAGTGATGAATTTTCAAGTGTTTAAGCACCCTTTAACTACACAATAATGTCCATTTAGTCATGTATTATTATTTTCATTCAATGTTGGGTAGATTTTTGCCTTAGTCAGTTTGGGGTGCCACAACAGAATACCATAGACTCTGTGGCTTAAACAACAAACATTTATTTATCACAATTCTGGAAGCCATGAGGTCCAAGATGAATACGCTGGCAGATCTGATGTTTGGTGATGACAATTTTCCAGGTTTACAGACGGGTGTTTTCTCCTTGTGTCCTCAATGGATGAGAGAGGAGAGAGAGAGAAAGCAAGTTGTCTGTCTCTTCCATAAGGGCACTGATCGCATATGTGAAAGCCAAGCCTTCATGATTGAATTATCTCTTAAACACCAATGCCATCTCATAATGCCATCACATCAGGGGTTAGGGTTTCAGCAAATGAATTTGGGGAGCACACAAACATTCAGTCTGTAACAGTCTTCTAAAATTACATTGACGTATTTCTCATCCATGTGCATGAGAGAGCTATTGGTCTATATTATCCCTTTCTTGCAATATTTTCATCTCATTTTTGTATCAAAGTCATTCTGGCCTCAAAGAATTAGTTTTAAAGTAGTTTCTCCCCTGAAAGAATTTATGTAGAATTGAAATTGTTTCTTCTTTAAATGTTTTGCAGAATTCACAGTCAATCTATCTGGTCCTATAGATTTTTTGTGTTGTTTCATTTTTGTTTGTTGTTTTGTTTTGTCTTTTTTTAACACTATAATTTTCTAGTGTTTTCACTATAAACTTTATTTCTTTAGTAGAGATATAAGGCTATTTATCTATTTCTTCTTCAGTTATTTTTCTCCTCCATAAGAGTCATAAATTCCTGCTAATCCAAAGATTAGCTAGCCATGGTAAAAATTTTTCATAATTTTTTGAGCTCAGAGCCAAGAGCAAAGAGTTGCTGAATGAAAAAGAATCATCCTGTGTTATCAAACAGAAAACGACTTTGGAAATTAGCTGAAGCTGTAAACTTGGTAATGTTTCTCTACAAGTTCAACCTAAAATTGTGAGGTAAAACATCACTTACAAGTGACTCTTACACTACTCTAAAGTCACCCATTGACAACTAATGTTTGTTGAATCACAAGTACTATCAGCTGCTTTATACATTTCCAGTGCTAAAAAAAAGTGAAAGCAAGAAGCAAGAAAAATTTTTCAACACAAATTTACAGCAGATGTATTTTTCAACTTCAAATTATATTAATAGCTAGGCAGCATTTTTCATGCCTCAATAAAACATGAAGGAAACTTCTATATTTAAATATCCATTTAACCTTGCAATTGAGGAGATTCCACCTGACCTATTAATAATATCAAGAGAACACTGTAACAGAACTTTATAAATGTCTTCCAAGCAATGCATACACTCATAGATTAAGATCAATATTTAGTAGGGGCTACTTGTTTGAAAAGACAGTTTCAAAGATTAAATATGTACCATCTCATTGGATATCATCATTAATAAATAAACATTTCTTATTGGTTTTGATGACAGGTAACGCTAATTTTGAACCCCTACTAAGGGAAATCTTATCTCAAAAGAAATCCATTCTTCTCTTTGGTAGATTTGCATTACAAAACTTGTACTCTATTATTACTATTATTATACTTTGAATCTTGTCAAGAAAAAATTATGGGAATTTATTTTTCCTTTTTTTTATATAAGAACCTACATAAAATCTTCAAATTTGCTATAGGGCCTGAAAAACTGTACACCACTTACTATCTAAAATTGTATTTGCTATACCTTACAGAAAATGTTTGCCAATCCATAGTCTAGAACCATGATGCTTCAAGTTTAACCTTCGAATCTCCTACCTCAGAATATCTTACTATACATAATGTTCGTTGTCAGTCACTCCACAGATGGTTGTTATACAACTAAGAAATCAGAGCCTCTGATCTGCAAGTTAAAATCTAAATTCTTGCATTTGATTGTTTTTTAAAGTCTTCTATTTTCCACTCATGCTTCCCCATTTGTCTCCAGCTACATTAAGTGGGAATTGCACAATCATTCCATGTTCCTCCACCCCATATCCATAGTTGTGTACTTATCATCACTGCCTGAATTATCTTTTTCCAATGTTTAATCCCACATATACCTTCTTTTACTTGCAAAGGTCTTCTTATCATTGACTACCAGAGTAAAACTGTGTCTCCACAATTGAAACCTTCCTGCCTTATGCTATTTATTCAGTAGCATGAAAGAGTATATCATCAATTCTTCCACGGCACATCATGCATCTTCTATATGGAACACTCATGACCTTAACATGTTCTGTGTATCACTTTGTTCCTAGCACTACCAAAGGTAAAGTCTCAAAAAATGTTAAATAAGTAAAAAATAAAACAAAAACACACTGTTCTATCAGAAGAATGATTAATTCTCCCCTGCCTCCTCTCCTTCCCCCAACTCCCTCAATTTTAAGAAACTTAAAATCACTCTGAACTCCTGATTAGATCTCCATTGAGGCAGATCTTCAGTTACTAGAATTAATGTTTTCCATTGAACGTTCGTTCCACTATTCTTCAATTTAACACAGGATATTTTTATTTTTATTATTATTTTCAATTAATATACAATATTTGTACATATTTTGGGGGCACAATTGATATTTTGATACATGTATACAGTGTGAAATGATCAAATTAAGGTTATTAAAATATCCATTACCATGGGGCATGGAGAGCTGTGACTTCTGCATGTCTGACCTTGCATCTGCAGGACCCCTGTGCATAAGAAGTAGCCTGCAGCCTGCTCAGCCTAGAACCTGCCCTCCAGGCACCAACTGCCTCTTGCCTGCCTGGCTCTGACCCCACCCTCCAAGTCAGGTTGCCCACCATCTGCACAGCTCCCACCTCTGGCTCAGAGCCCCTGGTCTGAGATTTTGCTTCTGGCTCCACCCCAGTCCTGGCTCAGAGGATCTCATGCCAGTACGCAACAAGCTCTGCCCTGAGAGGCTCCGGGTGGCTCCTTTGGCAGGCCCTGAGTGGAGTGTGGAGAGGTCTGTGGTCCCTCGTCTGCCAGGGCCAATCTCAGCCCACCTGACTTGGCATTGGTGGGACCCAGAGCCTTCTGAGCAGCCTGCTGCTGCTTGTTCCGCCAAGACGTCACCCTACAGCAGCAACTGCCTCCTGCCTGCTTGGCCCAGATCCTGCCCTCCAGGTCAGATGGCCGACATCTCTGCACAGCACTGCTTTTGGCTCAGAGGTCTTGTGCACAGGTTTTGCTTGCAGCTTCTTCCTTGTCCCAGATCAGAGGCTCTCACACCAGAGCCTGAGGCTCCACCCCTGAGCCTCCAGAAATCCTGCCAGGCCAGAGACACCATTGCCAAGTCTCCAGCACTGTATCTGGACCCTAACACCCCACCCCAGAGTCTCCACCACCAAAACAGGGTTGGAAGAGCTGCTCCAAAATTCAGTACCCTGCCAGGGACCACCCCCAGCTTCAAGCCACCAGCACACTGCAACCTGCTTTGAGCAATTGTTCACAACACAGGAACCCATGTTATCCAACTGATGCAGTTACCTCTGTGGGGAGACCCTGGGTAGAGCAATCCCCACAATACCAGCCTCTGTGAAGAGAGTCTCAACCAGCAACT